TCTCGGCATGCGAAGAAGCGTTGCTGGAAAACTTGCCGGAAGGCGAGCTGGGCCGGCTGGCCAAAGCCCTGAAAGATTACAGGAAGCTGAAGGTCTTGCGCCTCGACAACACTGAGGTGGGTGAAGCAGAGGCCGAGGAGTTCTGCAAGGTGGGGCCGCCGTGCCGCGAGGGCGCTTGTCATAGAAAAAGCTGTGTTTTCAGGCGCTTGGGCTGAACGACACAATCACAAAGCTGGAGATCCGCGTCGCTGAATCCCATCGAAAACGGTGTTCGGCTCTGTGGAAGGCACGAGCTTATACGGTCGCTTGCTCTCGGCCCCGTTGCTCCCGTGAGAGGCACTCGCAGATGCTCTGAAGTCCAACTGTACGATCACCCACGTCAACCTCTATCGCAACGATATCAGAGGCGAGAGCGCCAAGGCCAGGCGGTGCCCACAGGGTCTTCGCAGCTTGCAATTTCGACCCCGCGGTTCCCCTGAGAGGCACTCGCGCATGCCCTGAACTCCAATCGCACCGTCATCCGCGTCGACCTCAGTGGCAACAACATCGGAGACGAGGGCGCCAAGGCCAGGTGGTGCCCACGAGGTCTTCGCTGCTTGCAGTTTCGACCCCGTGTTTCGCCCGCGAGGCACTCGCAGATGCCCTGAACTCCAATCACACCGTGATCTGCGTCGACCTCCAGTTCAACTTCATCGGAGACGAGGGTGCCAAGGCCAGGTGGTGCCCACGGGGTCTTCGCTGCTTGCAATTTCGACCCCGCGTTTCCCCTGAGAGGCACTCGCAGATGCCTTGAAGTCCAACTGTACGGTCACCGACATCAACCTCGAGTACAACAAGATCGGAGACGAGGGCTCCAAGGCCAGGCGGAGCCCACAGGGTCTTTGCAGCTTGCAGTTTCGACCCCCGCTTTCCTGTAAGAGGCACTCGAAGACGTTCGCAAGTTCAACCATGTTGTCTATGTCGTGATGAGTTAGAGAGCCGTGCGCTTTGGTGCATCAGTCGATGTTGCGGAGCACAGGGAGTATATAAAACAAAAGAGCAGGCTCGTTTGTTTTCCTTACTCCGTTCAGCGATGCCCCACCAGTGGCCGCCAGGGCCTGAATCTAGTTATAGCATCATAATATCATACCAACTACTAAGCTACTAGTATCGTACTATTCTAATGGTACTTGTATATCAGTGTATCAGTATATGTAATACTATGTAATGATGAAGTACCCAGAACAGAAGCGGTAGACCAATTCTGAATCATGTAATGTCAATTTCTTAAGCCACTGTCGAAGTATTCAGGTCCCGATCTTATCTTCCCGAGGTCTTTCCAAAAACAAGGTTTCTCCCTGGGCCCACAGAAGTTTCACGCCAGAAGCCCTGGAAAGTCGGTCCCGTTGACGATCCGATTGCAGCTGCCGCTGAGAGGCTATACGGCCAAAAATCCCAGCACCACCGGCTTCCGCATCGCTCTCGCCTTGTAAACCCTAAAAGCCCGTCTACGCCAGCTCCGCCCTTTTCGTGACGTTCCTGGCGAGTCATGTTTGCATCATGACGGCTTCTCAAGACAACGTTGAACAGTGCGAGGCGGAAGCGAGAAAGGGACTGAAGTTGCCCGTTCAACCGTGGAGAGTTGGTACCATGTGCGGTGGCTCTTGTATTAAGCCTATACGACTTCTTGTTATCTTGTTATATGGTATATGATCTTATGATATACCTCTTCAGGTTTGGGTCGGGGTGGAGGGTGGATTTCGAGCTCCCACTGCACTGGTAGCTCGTCGCAGCCAGACCAGAAGCACCAGGATGCGGCCGCCCCAGTGTGGCAGATGGGTTTAGGGGCATACCCAGTAAAAGTGATGATAATTTCCCTAGACTGTCATCCTACCGACCCTTCGCAGCAACCTGGGCTTCGTAATTCGCTTTGTGCATTGACTTGAGTGATGCGACGCCCGTGCCACCCACAAGAGCTCATGTGCATGCAGGGTTGGAGGGTTTCGGGACTAAAATTTTGTATGATATTCCTAAACCCCAAACCCTGAGCTTTAATCTTTAAGCCCGATCGGCCTATAAATCCTAAGCAAGCCCTAAGCCGACGTACCCCTTACAGGAGCGCTGAGAAAGCCAGAAACCCGGAGCTTCCCCACCTGCAGCCCTAACAGGGCGTAGGTCCCTGAAAAAGCTACCGGGGCTTTGGGGCTACCGGGGGGCTTTGGGACCCTAGGGGTTTAGGGGGCACGGGGTTGAAGAGGTTTATGGTTACGGGCCCATAGGGTTAGGGGGGCATAGGGTTCAGGGCTCTTTGGGGGGTGAGGGGCCCTTTCCACATTGAGGGTGTTTTGGGGCTTGACTTCAGGCAATTGGGGCGTTGGAGTTCAAGTTGAAGGCTTTGGGGTCAGGATGTTGGGCAGTCGGGTTTCAGGGAAGCTAAGCATGTGCTGTCCCCGCAAAACCTTACTGCTGGCTCCTAGAGCCCTGAGCCCCGTGCTTTGAGCAATGACAGGGCGTAGGTCCTTGAGGAAGGGGTTCCGGGCCTTTCGGGCTTCCGGGCCCTTGGGGGTTGGGGGGCTTGGGGTCTATATAGGGTTTGGGGTTTAGGGTTTAGGGTTTAGCTATTTGGGTTTAGGGTTTAGGGTCTAGGGTTTGGGCTTGGGGGGTTTAGGGGGCTCCGGGTTGAAGAGGCTTAGGGTTGAGCGGGGCTTCGGGTTAAGGGCTCTTAGGGGTTAGGGGCCTTTTCCACATTGAGGGTTTTTTTGGGGGCTTGGCTTGACGAAAAGCAAATGGGGCGTTAGAGTTCAGGCATAAGGCTTTGGGGTCAGGATTTTGGGCATTCAGCATGTGCCGTCCCCCAAAACCTTATACTGCTGGCTCCTAGAGCCCAGGTCGGATGATGTTGCATAGTAGTCGAATTGCCGTCCTCAATAACCCTAGGAGCAGTTTAGGGCCTAGGGTCTCGTAAGACTGGCAGGAGCCCACCGAAGCATCTCAGGCTCACAGGGAGAAGGCGTAGCGACATGAAGATCATCATGTCACAGTAGAGTAGCTAACCATTTATGTACCTTCTTGGGTACTACAATCCTTATATAATCCCAAAGGTTAAGCTTTAATTCCCTAAGGCATCAAGGCCAATGAAATCGAGACGCACCGGCTCCGCAACTTGAAGCACCCAACGAAGGCATGAAGCGATGACCTTGCCGGAGACTCCTACCTAACCCCTGAATTAAGGAATGCTCCTGAGATCCCAGTGGGAGGCCGAATGCAGTCTGTATAATGCAAGGGACACTCCGTAATGACGGGATTTTGGAGTTTCAGGGTCTGCGTTGTGCTTCTCGGAAACCCATCGCATCAATGTGGCGACGCTCTTCTTGAGGAGAAGACCGCTGAGTAGCAGCACTTGGGTCTGCATGAAATTTGCTGAGTAGTTCTGTAAACTCGGGTCCTGTATAGGATCCTCATTATAAGAAGGATGCGTGCTTTTGAGGATCCCGAAACGGACCCCAATTTGGAAAAAAACCGGCGGGAAGCCAATTCACACAATGATTACAGCCCGGTAGACCTGGTCTGACGAACACAGTTTCTCTTGAGTGCCAAGATCTGAGAACTATCGGCAAAGAGTGCATCGTCGGTTGTCGGAGTTTTTTGTTTGGCCGTGTCTCGTCCTGAAAGCTACATCTCGCTAAGCCTAGGGGGATCAAGAATCTTCCGGATCCCAGCCCACAATGCAAGGTAACGCCGCAATCTTCCAAGCCCAACATTACACAGGTTTCAGTCCCATGAGACATCCGAAAGGTTACCCCGCAAGTGCCGACAGCAGCGTTTAGGGCTACCGACCCAGTGCATCCATCCAGACCGCCACGACTCCAGAGGCAGAAATACAAGCTAAGCAGATTTGAGCTAAGAGGCTTGAAGAAAGGTGGTTTTTTCTGGGTCCGAGAACATGAGGTTTCGTACCCTCAACCCCGAGGGTACTACACAGGAAGCCCTTTGAGGCGTAAGAACATAATAAAAATATGGTTCATTGGGTTTCTACAGGGGTTTGAACAGCTTGTCTGGGTTGTCCTCTACCGGAAACCTGTGTTTGAATGTCTGACCGTTTACCCTTCCTTTCCTTGGGTAGTAAATCAGTTGGGGCTCTGAAGTACTTCGCACACAGAGTCTGCAGCACTATTCTAATCAGTGATATTTTTCCTTTCATGTTGAAGTTTTTTTTCGGGATCCCGTGGACCGGATTCCACAACTGCTGTAGATATGGATCCCAGCAGACGAGATTTGAACCAAGAGTTTCGAATTGGACCTTGCGGCTCCAGCATTCCATAATTCTTTCTTGGATCAGGGGACCTGGTTGGTAGGATTATGTACGAGTAAGACAGCGATCAGCTGCGCAATTTTCATGGGATGTACAACCTAGATAGAACTGCTTGGGGTTTAGGGTCAAGGGTTTCTCTAAGATCCTCGAATATCAGTGCCTTGGGTTATAACTTCCCGCGAACCCACTGAGTAGAGTAACGGCAGCATGGCAACCCTGTTGTTACAGTACTACCCGTGAGCCTTCAAGCAGGATTTCCACCTTGAGGCCAGAAGTCTGTGCACAATCAGAATCTGCTTCCTGCTTTTGCCTTTCTTACAGTGCCTGTCTGAGGTAAGTACGAGCCACCCACGGTGAACGCAGAGGCGACGCTTGTCATAGTAAATTATAGGACGCAATTTTTCCCCGGTTTAGGGTTTAGGGTTGGGGTAGTTGTTAAAATGCCAGACTTTTAGCTGCACTTTATGAGCGGATCCCAAGTGCTTAAGTATAGTACGTGGGCAGATCTGGTGTTGATAGGGCTTGCTAGTTATCGTTACACTGTTGAGTACTTCTAGGTTGGTAGCATTCCCTGTGCTTTGTTTGGATCTTGTGAAAGGAGGTCATTTGGGATTTGCCCTGGGGTTTTCTGCGTGGTTTCGGAAGACTTCTAAATTCTTTCAGGAATGCGTAAATCTATGGCTGGCTTCGACAACGGAGGGGTCCCTGATTTCGGAGTAGGCTCGAAACGTAATGAGGTAGATGAGGATCCCGGGTGAGGCTTCCCTTCGTCGGACATTCCGTCAGGTCAAGAGACATCCCACAGGATTTACGGCCGAGATTCGCCTTGTTAGCAGATCTAGACTCGCGATTCAGGTTGGGGGGTTTAGATGACATAGAACTTGCTTCACAAATGTGGGCTTCTATTTGGGGAGGGGCCTCTCCGAGACCAGAGCACTGAGCTCAAACACGCTTCTTGGCCTTCGCAAGCGCAATTCAAGTTGCAGAGGCTCCCAGACCTGACCCACATGCTTCCATGAACCTCAATCCTAGGGATTTGGTTTAGGGTGTCGGGATTTAGGGTTTCGGGATTTAGGGTTTTGGGTTTAGGCTTTGGGGTTGATTGGAGTTTATCCTCAAAGCCGCACGGGAACCTTTCACCGACTCGCGTTGAGGTGTTTGACATCGATGCGGTCGCCGTGTTCACCCATAGAGTCCAGTATGCTCCGGCAAATCAGGGCCAATCGGACACCAAAGCAAACCCAGAAGCCCTAAAGCCTTAAATCCAAGATCCTGGACCCTTAGCCCCAAAGTACTCACTGTCAAGCCCGTTCACCTTCGAAAGAAGCCCTCAAACTGGAGCTTGGTAAACCTAAAGCCGCAGCTCAAGAGAGCAACAAGATGTCTCTCCCACTCTGTCATAGCCGAGGTGGTCGGATTGGAAATGGACACGCCATCCAAGGTACCCCTGGTGATTCCGGGGTCAGGAGTGACAAGCATCACCTTCTGTGATCTTTGGCAGGTTTTGAGGTATTTGCTCGTCTTACTCTGGGCAGGAGACGGCTGGAAACTGGCCAGTTTTTGCTGTTGTGGCCTTGGGATTTGTGGGTTCAGAGGTGTGGGCTTTTTTCTCGTGACGTCCTGCTCGAGGGACTTCAAAACGCTGAGCTCGTCCTAGAGACATGTACTCGGGAGG